TCTCTCATTATTCCCTCAAGTTCTACTCCGTCAAGCTGCATGTATGTATGCGTGTCCTAGGAAGCGGCTTGCTACTGAGCTTCATTTGCCTTTACGGTGGAGTTTTGCTGCTGGTTCTGCTGCCTAATCTTCCTTTTCTGACGTGCCCGAGCATGTCCACATTAGAGTCTGTGACATACCTACCTGAAAAAGGTTTATATTGTCAGAGACTACCAACCAGTCGGACACACGGGGGCACAGAATCGCTGAAGGGGAAAAATACTGAAAACATGGGGTTCTACGGCACTTTAAAAATGATTTTTTACAAAGTAAGTAATCTGTTGGGATTTTCTCCCCTTTTGCTTGTGTGCGTGTGTGTGTCGATGAAGAAAAAAATCTGTATCATCAGAGATGGCTGCAGTATCCTCTTTTTTGGTGGGTGGCTGGATGCCTGACATTCTGCTCTATACGATGAATGAAGGCAAATAATGAAATGGCTAAATGAGATGCAAAAGGCTTTCATTTTAGGCATCCAAAGAAGTAATATATCTTAATCTGAGAATTTGCAGTCAAATAAACTGCTTCACTCTTGAAATGCAGCTCAGCTGCACATTAACAAGAAAGCATTTTATGTATATACTGTTTTTTTCCGGGGATCTTCTTCTATCCTTTTTCCATATCACTCAGGCTTTATTTGATTTTGAATGTTACTTAACATGCATGCACTATAAGAGTAACATATGGTTGATAAATGCATGTAAATGCAGTGTGCTATGGAAGACTTTGGTACTGCTTAGTGTTGTTCCTGGTAACGATGCAGAATACAGTTGATTTTTTTTTCACTGCAAGACCAGTTATTTCAATAAATCAACAGTGTCTAAAGACTCCATGATTCATATTTACAGGAAAATATTTCATAGGAATGTTTACTTGAGGATTTCTGATGTAAGGTTTTAATTGCATAAATATCTTCTTAAAATCTAAATCTGACATTAGATCACTCTGCTGGAAACAAAGTTTTATTTTAGTGTGCTACAAGGCAATTGTGTCAACATATTTGCTAGGTATTTTCTGAGATGCTCAAAGCCTGTATATGTTAGACCTGATTGGAATAGGTGCAAAAGTTTCCTACGGTAATTGAGAAAACAAAAATTTGGCCAAGTCATGATAAGGTAAATACAGGACTGCATGTTGCTTTAGATGGTCTCTTCATCGGTGGAAGAATAAATGAATATATATGGGAATATATCTGGTTATGCTATTGTTGGCATTACATTTCTTATATGTAACAATTTGCGCTTCTGAAAAAGTAAATCTCCCTCTCTTTTGAGAGGGGGAACTAGAAAAGGTACATAGTCATTGGTGCAATGATATTCTCTCAGGAAAATGAGTTTAATGTTTAGCTCAAATTAAAAATTTGCGTTATTATGAAAAGCCTTCCTTCAGATCCCTACCATGAGTTTCCTCCTTGATGATATAGCAAAATAAATTAGATTTATGCTTCCAGTGGGTTTTTACTGGCTTTCTCCTGTACAATGATAAAAGATGGTCTCCATTAGTCTGTGATGCTTAGAACAGTGTGGATTTTTTTTTCTCCTCTTTTTTTGGGGTGGAGTGATATTAGCAGGGTTGTTTTCTGTTTTGTTTTGAGGTGGGGGGAGACTTCTGTTTAATCTTTGCATGGTGACCTGCTGTGTTGCCCCGTGTGAGGCATGGGCAAGAAAACAAGGTTAGCTATAAAGCAAGCTTCTTGCTATGCATGGTTCCCCCTTCCCTTCCTCTTTTCCCCTTTGGTAAAAACAGAATAGGTAACCTTAGTAAACCTTTCTTTTGTGCCTGTTCATGGATCAAAATTAAACTTTTCAGTGACTTGTTCTAAAATGATATGTAAATATCTAACTATATGGAAAACAACATGTTTCTGTGTGTTTTAAAGCTTTTGCAAATCCAGCTCATTTGAGGCAGGTAGACTGGTACAATAAATGGTTAAATCTAAGCACAAAGATTACATTTTTAGAAAACCCAAATCTATTTAACATTGTATTAACCTAAAACCATATATCCTAAAGTGAAATTGAAGAAATAAAATCATTGACAAATTTAAAGTTTGAATTTTGTTGCACGAGTAGTTTTTGCATTCTGCAGCCAATAGTACTACTAATAGCTAAAACATTTTCCCTACCTTATCTTTAAAAAAGAAAACCTTCATTTAACATAAAATGATTTTTAGCTGAGTTCAAAAATTTGTGGTTTAAGATTACCAGCATATGCACACAGTAATCTGTACTTGTCTGGCAGCATGAATCTGACTTTCACTGGTTTCAGTCTCCTTGGTAATTTTTGCAGACTTGATTTTCCTTTTAATAGTTGCCCTGCTTATTACTTGTTTTTTGATCATATCTAATTGTGGGTGACATTCAGGATTAAATTTCTTTTTCATCTTTACCCCTTTTGGAAAAATGTTGGTGTCATCTTTGTCAGTTTTACTGCAGTTTCATAAATATTTGAAACGTTAAATTAAAAATGTTAAGATAAGTCTTTGGGGTTTTTTTCTTTAGCTTTTTGTTTTAAAATACTAAAATATACATTTGGTGTTCAATGCAGGGGGGGCTACCCAACATTTAACCCTTTGTTATAATAGTTATGGAAGTAGAATAATAGGAGAGGTGTTTTGTTTTGTAGAGAATATACAAAGACTAATTCTGTAAATACATTTTACGTGCATTTTTTTAATTGAAACTTTGAAACCAGTAGTAAGATAGTAGTTTTAGTTACCTGAGTCCACAGTAGTAATGATATTATACATCATTTGTATAAAAGGGACTTTATTAGTAAATACTGCTTTGTTTTATTACTGAAGTCAGAAACTTTAATGGAAAAACCTTATTAAAACTGAGTATTGATGTTAAAAGGAAAAAACTATTAATTTTAGGTATTACCTGCATGACTCATGATGGTGATGTAACTGAAACTGCAATCTTGTTATTATTTATTCCTGTTTTCCTGCTTCTGTCTTGCAGATGAAGAGAAAGTTGGACCATGGCTCTGAGGTTCGTTCTTTCTCTCTGGGAAAGAAACCCTGCAAAGTCTCAGAGTACACAAGGTAAGTAAATGTAATACTATATCATCTGGTCATGATTGTTATTTACATCAGTCTTTCCAGCTGCTCAGACTGAATCAGAGGTCCTCTCAAAAATTAACACTGGACAAGGGAATGGGTAGTGATAACAATATTAGCTTGCATTTCAGGTGGTTAAAACTATGGAAGCTGAAGAGTTTTAACAGAGTAGATAAAGTTGTGCTGCTTCTGTGTTAAGATTTTCATTTAATTCTTAATATATGCCAGTCTATTTAGGGACTTCCAGAGACCTCAACACCTCCTACGGAATAAGTGTGAAATCAGTCAGGTTTTAAAAGGGACATTATGATAAGAAGAAAACACCAGCTATTACAAAATATGATTAAAAGTATCACTTTGCTATGGCAACTGGAATACTAGAGCGGAAATTTATGTAGGCAGTACAGACCATCTGGTCCTAAGCAAGTAACACATACATACTTGCTACCTAAAATATGAAATTATTAAGGGACCTGTTCTGCTCCCTTCTTGGTGTTGAATGCTACTTCATTGCACAAATGATTCCAGTTATTTCACTGAGACTCCTTACAGAATAAGCACTGCACAGCATGAGTAATGATGGTAGAATAGGGCCCTGGACGCATACATTATAACTCCTGTATGTATTGTAGTTGCCATAACAATGGTCCTCTGATGTCCTGCTGCATTCCATCATTTTGGAATTTACACCACTGTAAAACTTCTTTGCTGTAATAAAAATCAGTCTACTGCAGGCAAGCTGCTTACCACTTAAAATTGGGTTGGGATGTCAGTGCTATGAAATCAACCACAGATGTATCTTTAAAATGTAACTTCTTTCCTTTTAAGAGACTGGCTGAATAAAGAGTGAAAATCTAAGGAAATAGGAAAGAAACCTGTTACATACCTAGTCCATGGGTTTCTAAACATGGCATAAAAAAAGGTAGACCAGACCTTGGTGAGAGAAGACACAATTGTTCAGACTTCAAGATCTTGCTGCAGTTGATACATTTTTCTCCCAGTTTTTTAAAATCATTCTGCCAACATGCTTCCTCTACCAGTGGCAATCCCCCTCTGCACAGAGTTCTTGGTTCCCACAAAAGAAATTCAGTAAGCTATGCAGTTCATCCAAATGCAGCTAATTTTTTTTCAAATGATTGTTATACCTGTCCTGCTTCCTGGAATAGCTGATGGATAAGCATTAATAGAATAAAAATATTCAGAGTGCTATAACTGCCAAAGGCATAAAGTTTGAACTGAGATCAAGTGATTTAATGTAATTTGACTTCAAAGGAAAGAGATTTTGATATTTTCTGTTGTAGAACACTGAAGTTTTGATCAAGAGGCCTAATATAGGAATTCAATCCAAGTATGACAGTCCCAAATACTCCATTAAAACACATAGCCATTAAATATTCCATATACTTAGAATATATTTTTAATGTCTCTTGTTTTAGGGTAATCTCTGTATGCCATGTAATTTACAACAGGCAAATCTGTCCTATTCAATCTTGCTACCTATGGCCAGTCCTACTATAGATATTTTACTTATAGGAAAACACCCTGTTCCGTAATAAGAACAGTGAAGCAATGTGGGAAGGGTGTGTTTCAGAAATAGATTACCTGCGCTATTTTCCTGATACTTGTTAACCCACACTAAGCATGCAATTTGTCCCATGGCTATAGGGTCCGCACAAGGTCCATGTACTAATCAAATACAACATAATCTTTATTTTGAGAGCCTTATTTTGGAGCTTTAAGTGTTGTCTAGACCTTTTGCTGGCCACTTTGCATAGGGATTGAGAGAGTTAGCAAAGCCACTGGTTTTAGAAATCTGTTTTGCAAAAATGCATAGATCAGCTTCAACTCATTACTATGCATTTTGGGGCCTATTAAATGTATAAGAACTACTTTTCCCATAGATGGTTCTGTAACCTGACATTTTGAATCACCAAATCAAACTCTAGTTAATAACAATATAGGTAAAATTTATTTTAATTTTTGTGTGTCAGTGTTTTTGAGTTCTCCTGGGTGAAACCAGCGTGTTAGATTGGCAGCTCTGATGAACCTGGTTTGCTTGCATCAGTAAAACTAAATAGACTATTTGCATTAGTTGAATATCATTAAAGAGTCTGGCCTATGCACTGCTATGTAAAACCAAGTGCTCTAAACTGTTTTTCATATAACATTCACTGATACAGATGGTAAAGAAATAAATTTGTCCACATAGTCTTTAATTTTCTTCACTATATGCAATTTTGATGCATACTAAAACTGTCCTACAGAACTTGGAAAAAGAAAAGTTATGCATCAGTGATATAGTAAAAGAATGAATTATGTATAATTCAATCCTTCGCCAGTATTATATAGCTGTTCTGTGTCCAGTAAAATCCTGAAAACCACATCTGCTAACGGGTTAGCTTTACTATATACTAAAGCAAAGGATCAGAGTCTCCACTCTATTCTAAGTTTGTATGTTCTGCAATAAGTACTCTGTATAAAGACATTTTAAGTAAAAGATCCCAAGTTTGTATTGAGGGAGAACTGAGTAAGATATGGTCAGACAGAATTACTGTGGATTTTATAAGACTTTTGAAGAGATTAAGTTTTGAAAAGACACCCTGATTTGAAGATGCATATTCCTCTGCATCTGATTTCTTAAATAGGCTGATGAGAAAACTATGGGTCAAGATGGTTACAGAGCTGCTGCTTCTCTGCCCAGTCCCTACCCCCTTCTCTCTCCCCAGCTCCTTCCCCCAAAAACACTACTTACTAGTCTAACAATATGTAAACTTTTACAACTCAATAAAATATATCAAAGTCAGTCTCTACAATAGCAAAGGACTACCAAATCATGGACACACACACACACCCCCTCTATAGTAATACACACACACACACACACACACACACTCTCTCTCTCTCTCTCTCTCTCTCTCTCTCTCTCTCTCTCTCTCTCTCTCTCTCTCTCTCTCTCTCTCTCTCTCTCTCTCTCTCTCTCTCTCTCTCTCTCTCTCTCTCTCTCTCTCTCTCTCTCTCTCTCTCTCTCTCTCTCTCTCTCTCGGAATACTGCTAAAACCTTTATGTACATAAACTAATCCCTCCTTGCCACATCCCCACTTCTTGCCAATGACTTTTTCTTGGTTTGGCAGAAGCAGTAACACATTTCTCCATTAGTTCTAAGACCTCTGCATCCCTGCTTCCAATATCAGCAGAAAGCAGGCAGCCAGGTCTCCTGCCATACTTGGTTCCCCTGAAGTCAAAGAAAATATACTTCGTCTCCTGGCCAGTTACTACAGTGTTATACATTTGGCTTTCAGAAGACACTCCCTATATTTCCCTAGCAGGAAAATGTAGCACTACAGTGGTAGAAACAGGTGGTTTTATGAAAGTGAGAATGGTAAATAGCCTCCTCACCTTGTTGTCTGGGTAATTTTATCATATAAAACTCAGTGTCCTTTTTTTTTTTTTTAATTAGGCTGTGTGACTACTGTACTAAATTATACATTTTTCATGGAGGTTTTTATTTTCCCAAATCCAGTTGTGACTTTTACTTCTTTTGCACATAGCACTACTGGGCTTGTGCCATGCTCAGCAACACCTACTACTTTTGGGGACCTGAGAGCAGCCAATGGCCAAGGACAACAGCGGCGGCGTATTACATCTGTCCAGCCACCTACAGGACTCCAGGAATGGCTGAAGATGTTTCAGGTAAACATTTGTAGAACACAAGTAATGATCTGAAATAGTTCAACTCAAGATTAAAGAAAAAACTTGGTTCTATAAAAGGAGTCAGCTTAATGTGTCCTTAGATGTCTCTTTAACTGATTGTGTACTTTTGACAAAATAAATGGATATCAGCTTTAAGTGTAGTTTTCCAATCCAGGTAATTATTGTAGACCTTCACAAAAAAGGTTGCTTTTCTTAGGTTTTTAAATAAATTAAACAGTATTGTTCAGTACTTTAAAATTTCATGCAAATACTGTCCAACATGGATTAGGTGCTTTTGTGGCCTCAAGCTAATATGTGACATTTTCACTTGGAGACTTGTAAGCATTAGTGCATACTTTGTATCAGTGTGGTTATGGTACTAAATTTATCCCAAATCGGATTTCTTTAACTGGTAACTGGGGTACCTGGATTATAATGCATTAAAACCTTAGTTATTTAACAGAAATATTTCAGATTAAAGAGAAACTTTGTGTTGGTTTTTACTATTCTTTGTGGTGAATATATCCCCAGTTTGTGCATGTGAATATAGTTGAAAAGAAAGGCAAAACAAGAACCCCTCCCCCCTTTTTCACCCTAAACGATGACTATGCAAAGTTACATTGAGCAGGAATTTGCAAAACCAAATTATACACATATGGCCCCTAGCTAGGAATGGAAATGTGGGTAGACACCAATTTAATTGGGAGCAAAGCCAATAAATTAACTTAAACTTGGTGTGCATTTCATAGACTTGGATTTAATAGGCCTGTGTACTAATTGGATAGGTAATGGCCAACCTTGACTACTCCCCAGTAGCAGTAAATGCAGAGGAGCTAAAATATCTCCTTATATAGATGTCTCTTACTATACAGCGTAGTTGTGTGTTTATAAAATACAAAAAGACTATACATTTAGAATTAAGCCCAACATTTTTTGGTTTTAGTTTTAGGTAGAAGGAACGTTCAGTTTTATCAATCTAAAATAGAGAAGATGGACTCACTACATAGGAATTATTTCCATTATTATTACCAGTGAATGTCAGAAGTTTAACACAGTAGGTAGAGCAGTAAACTTACTAAAACAATGTCTTGGGTAGAAAGCATTTTTTAGGCTTGATGTGCATCCCCTGATGATGTTTTAGGCTGTTAGGTTATCTCAGGTGTCAAGTGTTGCACTTAAAATAACCTTTCTTCTTTTAAATGTGTAAACCTGTAATTCATACAAAACTGATACCCAGTTTTGAAATGAAATGTAAATGACCAGATGATCTGCAAGAACAAATAGTGAAATAGAGTTGTTAAAGGTTTGCTTCTCCTACAAAGAGGTTGTTTATCCACAAGCACCATTGTAAGTCAAAAGTGACTCTCTTGAAGCTGCTGGATTTACAGTTGCATCCCTGTCAATAACAAACCTATCCTTTCCCTTCACATAACAACCCTTCCAAAGACATTCTTCCCTTTCCTTACTCCTAAAAAAATAGTGTCCTTCAAACACATCCCCACGTACAGGGACAT